GAGCCGCCAACAATGACAATGACAAAGTACTACTTCTGCGGCCGTGAGGTGTTGCTTCGAGGAATGCGGGGCACGTCGGTTGACCTCGGGAAGAGATTATCATACCCACAGCCAAAGTTTCAACAGGTCAAGTTTCGACGGCCAAAAACGCCCAGCGTCCACATCCAAAAAGTTAATGCTTATGGGCAAATTCCAGCCTGCAAAAAGTGAATTGTCTATGTCCGAAGAACCCGACTTCTGCTTTTGGAGCTACTTCTCTCCCTGGTTGTGGCTCATCACCGACCCAGCCATGCAATCCCGGACATGAAACTGTTGGACGAAAAGCTCCCGACGCAAACTAAAAATCAAGTAATATTGTACTATAGTAACTAGTAGCAGCACATAATTCCTGAAGACATTCGAGTTCTGAACTCGAATTCTGAACTGGTATGGAACAGAAAATGGCCCTTGCAGTCTTGCAGAAACTATACATCCGCAGTCCCACGGACTCTGTGCAAGCTAATCAGCTCATGTCAATGTGAAGTACCAGCCAAAAACATCATTTTGTCATCATGACACAGACTGACTGACTACTATGACCGTGTACATTGTGATTCCTGTCTGCCCGCCAACCTCCGCCCATCCCCTCCCATTCCGCTTCGCGTGGTGCGCATCCAGCCCAAAGTCTTGAACACTTAGAAACAATTGCCTCACGTTCATACAGGGTCAGTATCAGTATTACAGTATGATAGGGCTTTGCAATGTCTTGTTCCTTGGCAGCGTGTGTTGCAGCTTCAAACGGCTGGAGGTCTGTTCTCATCCTTTGCGGAGCTAGGATTCAGAGGCAGCTAAGGCGCTGAATGAGGATTGAGAAGCATTAGTGGATACACCGAGACAATTACTCAATTACTCTCTCCCTCCTGCCGCATTGCTTGCCAATGCGAGAGACTTCGGTTTAACATCTGGTCGCACTTTTGCAACTTTGTCGCTGCGTCCGCGTCTGTAGCGCACAGATTTTCTCTATCTGACACAACTGGCCTTGCCTTGGAGAAGCTCCAGGCCATTGATCACAGCGCGGGCAGCACGTCGCCTGGGAAAAAAAGGTCCTGCTGAAGCGAGTGTAGAATTCCAAACATTGTCTCGCGATGCTTTGCCTCGTCTGCCCGCGACAGCCTTTCAGCTTTGTCGCTGGCGCCAGTCTTTTTAAGAGGAGCCAACTCTACTTGACCTGCAGCCCAAAGAGCAACTTGCAGGTCATACCGCGCTACAAACTCGCGGAAGAGTCGTTCACCTTCTTCGATCCAGAAGCCTGCCCGTGTGTCTTGCAAGCGGATCCTACGCCGTATTCGTAGAGTCGAAGGCTTGGAAGACAATGCTGGGCGGACACGTAAACAGCTCTTGCTGATCCTGCGTTGATCATCCTGCAAGGCAGCACAATGCTCCATGTCAGCTTCCCTGCACAGGTGATGAGCCCCACGATCTGAACAAGCAGCTGTCCAGTTATGAAGAAGGTCAAACCTCCTGAACTCCCCTGCTTCAGGTGATCGAAGCAGCCTTGCCATTTCGAAGCGGGCTTGGTGAAAATTTCCGGCGGCAGCTCCAAGCAGATTACAAGTATCGGCGTTCAGGAGCAAGCTTTGAACAGAACGATGCTTGCCCCTACGTATGAGCGGAGTCTTGAGCATGATCCGGACAGATTCGAGATCCGAGAACTCTAGCTGGCAGCGCATCGTGGGCAAGAAAAGGGGCCGCCGCTCCTCAACACCGCGGTAATTGCTGGACTCTATCAAATGCCCGGAATTCGCCACTCGCTTTGCGGCCACATCTAGGAAACCGAAAATTGGCCATCGCGCCTCCAACAAGTCCTCGAAGCGTGTGGAATGCCAGGATTTGCCCAAGGGGAAGCGAAACACGAACGGCTTTCCCAGAAGCTCTGACTCTCGAACCTGATCCCCAAAGTCCGCAATGCGCTCCAGCCGCAGCACGCGCTCCGTGTGGTGGAACACAGAATGCTGCCGAAGCTCCTTTGCCAAGCCCCAAGAATCAGTAGTGTCACCGCTAAAACGGTTGTGAAGAATGACAAACGCAATCCCGAGTGTGAGCATGCCCGCGGGGCATGCTCTCTCCCAATCCTGCAAGTCTGCCTCTGCCCATTTATAGAACATGTAATTCAAAGCCAGTTGCTCATTGACATCCATTGTGCCGTCCCAGGTATCCAAAGGTCGATCAAGCAAAGCAGTTGATAGGCTTGTCAGCGCCTTGCGCATGCTACCCCAGGAAAAAACTCCTGCGGCGGGATCTGTGCCTTCCAACTGCAGGAGAGGATAGGTGCAGGTTGGATCAGGTTGAAGCCCAGCCTTCCGCACCCAAATCTCATCTAGGAGCATCCTCTCAAGAAATCGAAAGCCTTTTCGCTTCAACAAGCGAGTCATGCGATGGTATTCTTTTTGCGGCAGCGCATCATCGATCTCAATACTTATTACATCCACCTGATGCCTGTTGAAGTCAAATGTCCAAAGAATCTCAAGCTCTGTTCCCTCCGTGTCAAGCGACAGGTAGTCTATGTGCCGGCCCATGTCTCCAAGGTGCGTATCAATGAGATCACCCAATGTCTGACATGTCATATCAACAAGCTTATCCAGATCACTTGAGGCTATCAAACGGCCTGTTGTGCCGCTGTTGAGACCACTCTCTGCGAAGGACCTTAGGCCAGTTGTCCCTGCTACGCAAGAATGCACGCACCTGGCTCCTTTGCGATTGACCTGCAGCTTGTCGAAAAGCTCTTGCACTGGCTCAATTAAGAGCCCTGTCCAGCCAAGCTTCTCTTCAAAAGCCAACGTGTTTGTGCCCTCAAGCCCGTCCCCCGCGCCCAGCTCGACGAACACGCCTTGACGATGTTCACGCCCGTGCAAAACATCGTGCGCTGCATCTGAAGCATCCTCATTGTACAGCCATCTCATTATCTTCTGGTCCTGACCATATTGCGAATGCCAGCCATCCAGCAAGGATAAAGAAAAGTTCCTTGTTTGAGTTTCAAGGCTGAAGACTCTGTACAGCTGTAGATCGAAAGCTGCGAGGCACACGAATGCAGCAGTTCTGCCATGGCAACCGATCAGCAACATGCTGTCTTCCCGACTCTAATGCCTACGTGCGACATCTATGAATCTGTGAAGGCGTGTCAGCTTGTTGGCTGTGAACCTTCTAGCCTTCAGTACAGAAGATATGGTTGTGGACCTGAAGGCCTTCCTCGACCTGCTAAATCATGGGTTCCGCATTTATTCTGCATCTTAGACTGTTACAATTTGCCTCTCCAAGCACCGTCTCTGGAAGCAAAGGACGAGAGGCCAGGAGCCCTAATGATAATTTCTATACGGCCTGCATCAGCCTGCTGTCGCAGTTGATATGAAGCACACCTTAATGTCTCCAACGCTAAGCGCCAGGCTTGGGCTTACCAAACTCGGTGCCTCCATGTGCACATTCTGAGATCAAAAGCAGAGCTGTCTAGGTCATGCGCCGCCTGCAAAGGGACAGGTCCCGACCTGGGTTCATGGGCTATGCTTGTGTCAGTGCAGCCCCAGCAACCGCAACATGTAAGCTGCAGACTCAGGGTTGACGGCTGCGTCTGCCGTTTTACCTTTGCGTGACATCCAACAAGTTCCAATGAGGTCGGATAACGTATCGATTCTATTGACAGTTATTCAAGCAGGGAAGGACTTCGGCGCCATTTGCCTGCAACCACGCCTGGGAATGTGTGCTAAGCTGATGTGCGTCCATGCTTGATTGAAGATGTCCATCCGTGTAAGCGGTGTGTTACACCGCTGCGCATGGAAATCTTGCAGCTATCATGCAAAGGTTTTCAGCTGTTTGCATGGCAGCTCCTTGTTTGCTTTCGTGTTAGTTGTCTCCACGCCACAGGGAGAGCTGAACCCAGCACATCCTTCGAGTGTTATTCACAATTCTGTTTCCTAACAGTGTGTATATCGCGTACCCTTGCTTGGTGCGATAATTGGCCAATGATGCACCAAGTCGATCAACCAACAAAACATATCCGTGTATCCATGGTCCTGGCATGCAAGTGGCCTGATCCCTTCTACGACACTTTTGCTTTGCGTGGACCTTTCGTGCACTTTTTGCGAGTGGTTCACGCGCGACCGCATTGCAATATCAAAGACCAACATTTCAGATGGCTCTAATCACGTTCAGAACGAAGGTAGAAAATAGATTCTAGCACCAAAACGCGGATTTGCACACCCAAAAAATGGATTCGAGCACGGCCCCGTCGGATTCACCAAGAAAAAGGACGATCGCGCACCCAACCGACTCATTTGCGCCAAAACGGCTGCTTCGCGCCAAAACTAAAGGACTCGCGTCTAGGACGGCGTGGACGGGTCACGAGGGTCAGCGGTAGCAGAAACCCGCACAGGAACATCCAAAACCCTAAGCCGTAAATACCATAAAGACTCCCATGCCCTCAAACATGAACACCCCCGAACCCTGAACACCCAAACCCTGAAACACCCCCAAACGCTGAGCCAGAAACACCTGCAAACCCTGAACAAGAAACTTCCCTATACCGTGAACACCCTAGACTCTAAACCCTAAACCCACACCCCTAAACCCACACCCTAGACATCACCCCCCCTTAGCAATTTTTACCCCCCACCTCCCTTGCAATCATTTCAGAGGGGACCCCCCCCTTCACAAAGGGCCGTGCAATCATTTCAGGCCACGTAGGCACATCCACGTTGAATCAGACGATGGGGATGGATGAGGCTACCGTAGGCTACCAAGACCACTAGACTATACTCCCGATGAGGTTGCTTCCTGTCTTCAATGCAAGCAAACAATGTCAAGACAGTATGGTTCAGGTGCTACTGCAGTGGGAGAAGGGCCACCATTATTAGGAATAGTGCCGCTACTACATGCTACTCCTACTCACTAACTCTACTGCTGCGCATCCTGATCCGGCGACGACTGCTACTGCTATAAGGATGGACGGTCCTGGCACTTGGGATTTCTTGGCGTGCTTTGGAGTTGATTTCCAAATATTTCCTAGCTAAGGCATTTGGGTGTAGAAGAGAACCTCACTAATTCTGTTGCGTCGTCCTGATCTATCCGTCTGAAACCCTAAATCCCAACCCCCCCCCCCTTTCTTGACGCGAGAAAGGGGGTGGTTGGCATCTGCTAGCCCGGCGTCGCCCGCCTGTGTTCCCAGCCTCATCCTATCTTGTTTCTGCATCTTAGGATTTTACGTTCTCAAGGTCAGCACCCTGGGCTTTATCAGCCAGAGGGGTGCATCCAGATAAAACCGGAGCTGAGCCTAAGTGTCAGTACAAGCCCCTATTCTGGGGGGGTAAGAGGACATGATTGTAGGCGGGGTGGGGGGGTATCCAGGGGTCTGCAATCAATTTTTTGGCGGGTCCCTGCTCCTGTTTTCCTAATGTTTCCCCGCGCGTACAGGAAATGATTGGGGGGGTGGGGCCCCCAGGGGGCTGCAATCATTGTTTCGGTGAGTATCTGGCCCTGGATTTCCGAATGTTTCCTTGGGGAAATTTACAAGGTAGGGGTGATCCCTATAGTATAGACACTACCAAACCCTAAACCCCCCACACCCAGAACACCCCCCTAAACACTCTGAAGCGGTAAGCTCGAAAGCCTACACCCGTAAACCCGAAACCGCAAACTCCCACAGCGAAATACTACTGCATGAAAAGGAAACGCCAAACCTTGAACATCCCCAACCCTAAAACCTAAACACGCCCAAGCCCTAAGCCCTAGTTAAACTCCGACCCTGAAGCCTAAACCTTGAACCCTTAGCCCTAGACTGTGAGCTCCAAAACCCACACCCTAAACACTTCGAAGCCCTAAGCCCTACAACCCCACCAGCAAGCGCAGCCCTGAGCCCTGAACATTCCCCAAGCCTTAAACCCTGAACACCCACGAACCCCAGACCCTAAAGACTCCTGAACCCAAAGCCCTAAACCCTAGAAACCTCCCCGACCCTAAACCCTGAACACTGCCAAACCCTAAACCCTGAACACTAAACCCACACTCTCGACACCAACACTCAAGGCCGTTAAACGTAAAACCTGTAGGCCCCAAACCCTAAATCCAAATACCCCTGCGACTGTTGGGCTGTGGAAGTGCTGGAATTGTTGTGGCCTGCTTCAAGAATCAGACCCTTTTGGTGCTTGCGGCGCCTTTTGGTCTTGAATCGACACGTTTTGGTGCCGAATCCGCTCATTTTGGTGCTTCAATCGGTTTTGTGCGGTGCATGAATCGCGTGAATCGGGTAATCCCTGAATCTGCAGCGCTTGATCTCGAATTGGTAGTACTTTAACCGTAGTGCTTGAATCGGGCTTGGTGCTTGAACCGTGCTTTTACGTAAGAATGAAACCCTCAATTGCGATCTTCAAGCTTGCGCTGTAGCAATTGCGACCCCCCGCTTGCCACGCCATTGCAGCAAATGACCACGAGTGCTTCTTTTCTAGCCAAACCCTGGATACAGCATCTATTCTTCAGTGCATATGAGCTGCATGGATGTAGGGTCAACACACTGTCTAGTAACAAGGCTTGCGTAGCGGGGTTGATTGAGAAGGCATGCGAATGCTATGTTGAAACACGCTGAACCTTTCGCAAACCCCTTCGCGTACCATGCGCGCGCGTTTTTTTTCCATGGTTATAGCCCGAGAATGGTGGTTCCTGACGGCTCCTGTAATCTAATTTTCTGCATAGGGAATTTTTGAGCCACCCCGGTTTGAATTGCGCCGAAGAGAGTGCTGAGCAGCAGGGGGCAAGTCACTCCAAATCCACCTACAAGTAACTGAAAATTCACCAGCCTTGAAAATGAGCAGCTTATCATCAAGTTGCATGTTGAAAGCTGTTGAAAGATCCTCTTGCTGCAGACTTCTATCAGACAGGTCCAGTTGAACCACTGCGAGTTCCAGGCTTAATGCAGTTGATGGATAAAATCCTGCACCACCTTAAGTCCAGATATTCCTGCGAAATACAATCGTTTTGGGGCTCTAGGAGGTGCACAAATTCTTCAATCAATAGTATCTGTGCCTCCCCATGATTTGCTCAAGGCTGGAAGCTGTTGAGCACTGCGTAGCAAGTCACAGGAAAGAAGCTGGATGCAAGGCACTCCCTTACCTTGTGATTGCACCCTGAGGCCTGGGCGATGCCGGGACTTCCTGAAAAGTCTGCAGTTTCCGAAACTTGTGTTATTGCAGGGGGCTGCCTCGCCTTGAACGCCGCTTCGTCTTCTCCCTCGGCACGTGGACCAGCGCATCAGTCTAAATGCTGTCATACCCAGGGTGAACTACAACAGATTTTCTCGCATATCGACGCTGATGTTTCGATTATGCGGGGATACGGTTTTGCCATGGACGTTTTTCACCATCATCAAGCCTGAGGGATAGGCCCATGACTTTTCCCAAACTCCCCGAGAACTCCCGTGCTCTGGCCCATGAGCATCGATGCCATGGATGCTCATGGATGTGTGAAAGCTCCCATGTCATGCATGTTAACAATTCATGGAACCTCGAAATTGTGTTATCGTTGCTTGAGGCAAGCTCGTCTCAGCCGCTCGCCCTGGTGTCTCGAGAGGATGTTCCTGACCAATAGTAGCGGCAGCATGCACAGGCTTTGGTTACCAGCGGCGTATGGGAACAGAACCATAAACTAGAACTAGAACGTACAGAAGGCAATGGCAACTCAGCTGAAGTTCACCTCAGATGCAGGAGATGCTTCAGAAACATCGCCAGCCCATCGTTGGTCAACATAAGCTCGCCTCAGATTTGACTGCAAAAACTGGTATGCCTCAACCACCACTTAGCCAATCAACGTCAGCTTGGACAGCGGCTGAATGAATCGCTTGTATAATTCCAGCGTGCTACCCTGGCACGAGTTGCATGGCCCAATCGCACGCGTAGCCAATGGAAACCACATTCCGTGTGAACAGGTTTATGATTGAAATCTGTGACGGAATTGACGAACAGGGAAGGCAAACGCAAAAAGAGCGGGAAAATCTCTTCATGCCACAGCAATTCATGCAAGAGGCCTGCTTGACACGATCTTTCGGCGTAACTTTTGCGAGATACTTTCGCGCCGCAGCAGCATTTCCGCCACCGTTGTTGTCATCGAGACCCTGTTCGTCCATCCATTCAGGATTTGCTATAGGATGATCCACGTGCCACGAAAAAAATGATAAAAAAATATGTCGTCAGCTTTGCCCACCTTGACCTCCTCCATCGTCCACACGCTCATCTGGATGCTTTTGCATCGATGTGAGAAACTTTGATGCGCAGATTTGCAGTCACTGCAAATAAACCTGAAACCATGCAAGTTCTTGTATTCCGTGCAGAGCACACACACAAACAACAACTGAGGCCGCCACGTCTTGAACGTTGTGCAAACTGCACTAAATCCTAGGCTTTCCTCTTTCAAACAGTTCGGACACACCTGCCAAGCATCCACCGGCCACATTCTGCGCAGACGTATTTCAAACTCAATGCAAGTCCACCAACATGTCCACACAAGCTTCTTCCAAATTAAACAGGATTTGCACGTTTTGTGCCAGCTGCTTCTACAACTCACGGACATTCAGGTCTTCATGTCACTCTTCCCGGGCCCGATTTTCTGGCAATCGGCGTATCCTTTGAAGCTCTTTCTCGGTAGCCTGGCGATGCGCGCGGCAGCATCTCAGTGGCCCTGAACTTACAGGCGCTCTTAACATCTAAGAACCTGCTCTGGAGAAAAACTTGCACGAGCAGCCCTGCCACACTGCCAATTAGAAGCTTTTGCTTGGTTGGGGCCATGCCGTGGAATGTCTTAGGATGCAGGTGCATCACTGACTTTAGCTGCAACTCTCACACAACCTTTCCTTGTCAGTCTCTGGCGCCATGAGCTCCTCAGGCATCTGGGAACGAAGCGCAAGGGACCAGGTCTAACAAGGTAACGATTGGACATCCCATGTTCAATGGTGATTTAGTCACGGATTGGAGGCGGCCACCCCCAACTTCACCACACGCTGGCCACTACGCAACGTCGAAAGGCAACGGCCCCACGGACGAATGGTTTCTTCACGCAGCCTCTGGTTTGATTCCTTCTTACTGCCCTTGAAACAATACATCCCTGGAGCAAGAGCTGAACACGTCCTGAACCTTCATTCGGAAGAAGTCTCTACCTTTCTTACTAGGGAGGATGGCGACTTGCGAGTCGGAGGAGGAGTCAGGAGGTCTCCTTCATTTCTTGTCGCTTTGGTTTTCCTGGATTTTTCTCATTTTCTGAGAGTTAACATGAGTTAAGATCTAAGGTTGCAACCATGCGGCCCTTGTATGGGCCCTTAACCCTGGTATCCTGCTATACCTGCAACATACCATACATACCCTGTTTTTGTACCTTCACAAGTCCCTAGAATCCCCCTCAAAGGCCTAACCATATTAGGGGCCCATGCTTCTAGCCTTAGATAAGAAGCTACAGGAGGAAATGGAGACTGCCCTTATTTTGGGAGAAACTTAGACCATGTACTTGTTCAAGCAAGATAACCGCAAGTATTTCACATTGGAAACCATTCTTAACAAGCGCACTCGCTGCAGCAGATCGTATCTGCGCGATTGAGTCTACCAGGCAAGTTCTCGCGAACGTCAAGCCGTCCCTATGTAGCTGCACCTAACTCGAGTCACTCGAGCTGAGAGCTGGACTTCCGGCCTGGCTGCCAACTCTTCAAACTCGCTTAGAAGGGTCGGAGATGCAGCAGAACGGTGTTTTTATGTTTTAGCAAAAGATCAACAAATGAGGATACTGGGCTTCATGCCTTCCGTTGCTGACTGCTGGGCGCTTTGAACAGTAGTGTACAAAATTCAATGATGTTTGTCTTGCGCCGGCACCTTGAGCAGTCCAGCATGCAAGGAATGTTTTTGCCATGGTATGAGCGCAATGAACTTGCTATGGCTTTCACACACTTCTGAGCAACAAAAAAGCCAATGTTGGTCACAGGATACATCTTCGCGGCCTTTATCCAAGCTGAACGACCTCACTTGCAATTGGCCAATGACAGCGTGAATTTACCTTCAGGACTAGCGTGCAAACTGGAAATCACATGGTTTGTTTGCTGCATGTCTGGTTGGTGGGCTACCACTCTGCCCTGTAGCAAAGAAGATGTTGCATGCACATCTTGCTCCCACGCATGGTGGCTTCAAGGCTACCCGCACGTGCTGTACGCACATAATTCATCCTAGCCACAACACCTGATTCGTCAAGGTTTTGTGACCATGCAAAGCTACCCAGCACTATGTACAATATACATGTCAAATTAACATCCCATCACAGCATCCACGGCTTCCTGCAGCAAGACTGTGCACAAGCTGGCATTTTCCAATTGTGGCTCAAGGTTTGCTCAACACTTGTTCTTGCATGCAGATGGCATGCTTCTCCGCCTGCATAGTTGGCAGTCTCTTTGTGCACCAAATATGCGAGCCTCAGCATTGCTGCGCAACAATGGCCTCTGAGGAGCAGCATTCGCCTGCATTTCATTGATTTACATGCCAGCCGCTGGTCAGCTGTGAGAATGCATTTCAATGCACCGCTCACTGCATCGGCAGGACAGCATGCCATGATAAGATAAGCATGCAGCAACACTTGATGATATCAACCTCGCACAAGCAATTGATGCTTCCCATGCACTTGCCCTACTCATTCTACTCCGCTTGGTTCCGAACAGTGGCAATGCATGATTTGTGCGCCAGGACTCGTCCACATGGCGGTGGACAGGTCCTTAAACTGACAGCATTGTGGCCACAGCACATGCTGCTTGTTACAGATAAGATCACTGATAAACGAAGCCGCAAAGCCAAGCTTCGGCAGCACTGGAGTTGGTGGCAGCAAGCTCAACCCACATACAGCGCAGGAGGGAGCGTAGACACCCTGACAATGGTGCATGTCTGGCATGATTATTGTGGATCTGCATGTCCTTTGCAACATCATGTGCGGCAGACATCAACATACCATGGAACAATGCCCTGCAGGTCGCTGCGCGGCCAAGGCATGTCAGCGTAACATCCAGGATGTGAGCGCGGCTAGGTGGTCTGTGTGATTCACGGGAGGGTGCCCGCAGGGCTACCGCATCTGGCTCAAGCTTCAGCTGTTAATTCATGAACTAACCATTCGGAACAGCCCTTCCAGCCTGGGACTTCAGCGGCCCTTCCGCAACAGTTGTTTGTTCATCTTTGTCTGGACTTACTACGAGCTTACTTGTGTAGACTCTTCCACACTGTTTTTCTTGACAAACAGTTTGTCAAAGGGGTCTCGCCTTGAGAACTTACCCATCCAAGCTTAACAGCTGCGAGGCTTGTTGTGCATCTCGGACTGAGCACAGGCTTCAAAACGTGCTCCTGACAAGATAATATTATAAATGCCAATTTCTGCACTGATTTCGCAGAGCTCCCTGAGAAGGTTCAAACGTGGCACAAGGATAGGCAAGATCCTCTAGGATATGGCTTCTCAGGGATAAAGGCATGACGGCACTCTGGTATGAAGCTTCAATACATACTGCGCGGCTACGCGAAAATGTGCGCCAAGAGACACTACGCACTCCCCTGCCTTCTGCGGAACTTTCGCCATCTTTCGCCAAACCCGTCTACACATGAGTATCTACTTGGGCTTTTCCAAAATCATATTCATGACGGAATGACCTCTTTGTGGAAATCCAAAGTTCCGTTCGCGAACACCATCGCGAGCTTTCACGGAAGCATGTTTGAGGCAGAAACCAAGCCCTGAACTCTCAAAACAACTCTTGACCCGTACCCTCAATTCCAAAACCGAACCTGCAACACCACAAAACATGCTGGGCAGGTGAAGCGGGGTTCGAACTTACCCGAGCCCTAAACTCCAACACCGAATTGGAGGCTTGCTCTGCCTAGGCTACCTCTCACGGATCTTTCAGGAAAGAATTCTGAGACTCAGCCTGTGCCTCAGAAAGACTTGCAACCCTTTCACCTTTGAGCATGCCAGGAAGCATGCCTGCGGACTGCAAGAAGAGAACTGTTTTCGAAAGTAAGTAAGGAACTATAGGTTACGATGCTTCTTTTACGAAAACTCAAATTCCTTTCGCAAACACCATCGCCACCTTTCGCGGAAGGCCCTCTAAACCAGCCGTTGTGGCTTCATATGAAATTTCCACATTGGGTTTTCTGAGGACGTCCATGTGTCTCAATGTTGCGCTCGAGCAACCTGTCTGCCCAAGCCATCCTCAAGCCACGGGCGAGACCACAAACACGGATCTCTGAGGTTGCAGCAATTCGAGATAATGAGAGAGATGGAGCACCTCGACCCTGTAACGACCTTGAACTTGCCGTTACCTTGTGCCCTTTGTTTTCGAATGCGTGCCCAAAAGGCTCACCTTGAGAGGCCAGGTTGCAGGAAGAAATGGATCTTGTTCAACAAGTTTGGCATCGATTGACCAACGCTGGGGCTTTTTTGCGCATGCCCTTGCACTGTTTTGCACACGTCTAGTTTTGGGCACGTTTCTAGCCATGCATGCAGCATGACCATAACCGTAGAATGGTCTGCATACTAAGAATGACCTCTCAAATTCTCGCGCCTGCCCCTGCGCCACCTTGCCTGCGCACTTTTTAAACCTCCGTTTAGAGTCCAAGTGCCTCCTCTAATCACCCACAATAGGCGAGGATTGAGAACGATATAAACGGACATCTGAAAGCAGCTGCCAGACTTCTTTCTGACCTTGGCAGAACAACATTCATTGAAGAATCTTTCCCCCGTCAGCGCCAGAAGAAAGGGGCCCTATTGAGTCTCGTCGCCGAAATTCCATCTTCACCAATCTCCCAAGACGAACACCCACCTTCAGCATCCGGTTCACCATCATGCTCCGCCCAAAGGGAGAGCGCTTTGTGGAACCAGACGCCCTCCAGGCGTCGTCAAAGATAATCGCCATGCGCCATGAGTTCGTCTTCCATGGCCTCTATAAGTAGCTTGGGCACCATACCTCTTGCCCGCGTAAGAAACCTATAGCCTGCCTCAGGAGCCAACGGCCAAATACCTCACTAGGCACGCTCATGCAACCTGCAGGTCAACCAGGAGGGCGAGCGTGTTGTCTGCTCCTTGCTCCCTTTCGCCCAATGAAGCCAAGTTTCTGTGCAGCGTCAAGACCATGCATAAGCAACGATGAGCACCAACTGTTTACAATCGAAGTAATCAGGATCGCACAAGGAGAAACTTGATTTTGAGGTTGCACAAACCTGGATCCTTGAAGGGGAAAGAAATGGAAGTGTTTCACGGCATGTCTGACCAGGATTGCAGAGCCGTGCCTTGCCACAAGGACAATCAATCAACCGGGTGGCGCCGTCCTCAAACTCAGCGGCGTTTTAGTTAACATCTTAAGCATCCTCGGGTCGCTGCAGTCCTCGAAGGATGCGACGTTCTGGGTCTGCAAGTATGCCCGGGTGCAGTCCAAGTGGCAAATCCTGCAGCACAACTGCAGTTCGAAACATTTCGAAACCATCTGCGGAAGTGTGGTGACTCACCGTTGGTGGCAACCATGTAGATATGCAGAAGCAGCTTCTGAAGCATTGGAAGTCGGGGCATTCCTGACGGCTGAAATATCTTTACTAGACCGCCAGCTTTGGCGAAGATTCCTTCTGACTCGACTGCCTTGACGTTCACCAAACATTATACAAGAGAAGGTGGACCAGAGCTCAGGTCGTAGCATCAGAGTGAGTCAAGCTGCTTTCATGAGCAAGGAGCAGCACCGTCGGTAGCCGATATGATCTACCGAGATACAGGCTATTTCAGAGGGACTCTACATGACTCAACGTCCAAGCTCAGGCATGGCATGCAGATCAAAGATATCAAAGCAAAGTCCTTCCGCAGGACACACTGCAGGGAGCTTCAAATCGAGCCGGCAGGGGCACCTTCTCATTGCATACCTTGACATGTAGAAGGCAAGAGCGGTTTCTCTAAGCTGTACGCCCGCCTCGCACTCGGCAACCCGAGCCATTGCCATGGCTCGTCACGCTTTGGGAACAATGTGTAATCAATCGTTATCAATCGTTCTTTGCCAAATGCCGTACCAGTAGAAGCTACTTCGGCATGATGTTCCTTCGAACTCCTTTAGAACACAACCTACTTGCAGAGTCGCATATGGGTCATGAAGATGTTGTTGTTTGAGCACAGCTTTGCTCATGAAGATGCAAAGAAGTCATGCGGTGTTAGGCTGCAAAACCGTCTTCTCAGTCATGCGGTGTGCCAAATGTCGATGAATTACCCATTGAGCGTTTTTTTTAAAGGCGTGCAACCTCCTCTTGCTGAGATGAGTGCCCCCTTCAGTCCCATGCGGGGCGCGCAACGCCCGGTTTAAAGACTCCGCAGATGATCGAAACTGCATAGGCAATCCCGAAGCCAATGTCGACCACACCGTGCTGAAAGATGCAAGACGGATCATAGAGCTTCAGGTCTGAGCCTCCCGTGATAGGGCCCATTATCCCCATGGCGACTTGGTAGCTGATGGTCAAGGTAGCTAAGACCACCGGACTTTTCGGAACGTCCTTCCACCGTTTGAGGATGCCATAGAAGAAAGGCGTAGTAATGCAGGCGGTGTTGATATTGGCATAGTTCAGCCTCATTTTTGCGGGGCCAACCATGTTCGTCAAGCCTGCAACAATGGGAATCTGCGTAACAACGTACAACACAAGGTACATCCAGGGCAACTTCTTCTCCTTGGGGACGTAGCACAGAAGTGACAAGAATCCTGGAAGTGCAATGCCAGCACTGAACGCATATGCAAACGCAAAGTTTGCAACTGGCAAGTGATGGCTGAAGAAGTGCAGTATGATGTGCGTAACTGCCTCTGGCACAAAAAGCCAACCGAAGAGTCGGTCAATGGGATCATTCCGATATTTCTCACGCCAGAACAACGCTGCAAAAACCATGATCGCCTGAATGGTTGAAGTAGCTCGCAGTGCTGGATGAGACAGGTGAGGCCCATACTCAACATCGAAGTCACTAAGGGATCTATCATAGAAGAAGTTGCCCAGGCAGAACAGGAAAGGCAGCAAAGTGACAACCAGGCAGATCTTCACCAAATTGTATGCGTAGTCATTGTTGTTGCTGTTGCTGTCTGTAGACGTCTCGGTCATTTCAGACTTGAGCATATGAGTTCCAGAGTGCGGTGCTGGCCTTTTCTGCATCCTCTGCTTGCCAGCAAATGTCAACGTGGCAGCAGTAAGAGCCACAGCACCTTGCATGCTCTGCCCGCATGCTGAGGCCTGCTGAGCTCCGGTACACTTCGGGTGGGCCGCCACTAGCGAGGCTGAGCCAGGGACAGCAAAGGCTAGAGCCATGCCACTGTTCGGCTGCGCAGCCTATCCTGGAGAGCCCTTGATCCAATCTACCATGGCGAATCCGCAGCGTTCCATACATTAGGCATGCACGTTTGGACGCATGCAGATTCCGTCCTCCTTGCTAGCGTAGCCCACTTCAAGCAGACATGTAATGTCTGGCTCACCTGGCCATGTGACGCGCTCACTGTTTTCAAGATGGCGCGCCATTGCTCTCTGAAAAACCCTCGTAAGCGGTCGCTTTTCAAGCGAAATGGAGGGGGTGCCACGGCTTGTGTCAGCTTGTTCCAAGTCTTCTACATTCTGAAGCTGTTCTCTAGAAGCCAGCATGCACCCATCGTCTGAACAACACAGGCCTGCTGCCATGCTGGTATTGCGAGACAACCATTGGCAGATCCGACAACAGCATGCACCAAGACGAGCAGCACCACATCATCATCATCATCATCGTCGTCGTCGTCGTCGTCGTCGTCGTCGTCACCACCACTGCCACTGCCGACGCCAACGCTCCACTGCCGCTGCCGCGGCCATGGCCACCCCCGCCCACCGCCCACCGCCACCCACCGCCACCCACCGCCCACCGCCCACCGCCACCCGCGCCCGTCACGGCCACCATGACTCCAAACGAACCAGGCCATTCTACAGGAACAAATCAACAGCTGCAGCATAAGCCTACTGCCACCGCAGTAAATTCTATTGACGTAACCAACCCTTCGACCGGATGAGCCAACGCATACAAGGATAAGAATCACTTTGCTGACAACCATATAAAAAGGAGTCATGCACGAGCCGCGGCACCCTTCTGATGACAGCAATTGCTGGCACCATAGATAAAGCCTCAAGGCCTCAAGTACAAGACCTCGACAGAGACTTGGACCTACGCACTGCACTGCTAGTCAAGTTTTTGCAGGAACCATTTCACAACTGGCCCTCCCGATGGAGACGAGTCAGCTTCAAGGATGAGGCTGTCCTCACCGAGTAGGGCGGACAAGAGAGACTACTGCTGCAACCTAGCAAGGCCTGCTCCAGGTAAAAACGATGCACATCGATGACCTCAACCAGCACTTGCCAGGTATACTGAGGATGCTCTCAAGCCAGTTCTTGATGCTTGACTAAGAAGTGATATTGCGCAGGAAGATGGTACTTCGTGCATCAAAGAGCTTCACCACCCTCAGCAGCAGTTTCGTTGGTACTCGCATCTCGGTTTGCCTCTTCATCTTTGCTGCCTCAACCAACAGCTGACAGCGCTCGCTATTCAAGCGACAGGCCAGGCTAATTGCCCAGCGCAATGTCTGCAAATCAAGCTTGTGCACGTGTCTTCTGAGGCCTCCGAGAACCGACTTCGTCCAGCCTTGAGTTTGCTTTGCTGGGCTCATGTTCCTGCAGAGATCAAGATGTCATGCAATCCAAGCATAGCTGAGGCTGAGCAGAAATGATTTGGCCAAGAATCGTGATGCGCAAAATGGAGTCCGACTCCCAAACTGGTTCAACATAGATCTTGGCCCCGCCCATGCGTGTGATTTCCTGGATTCCGTCGCCAACCTTGTACTTCTCCGTGAAGCCCAAGCCTCCGAGCCCTGGACCCTGGAAAGAGTATTCCATTTGGATGTCATCCTCCTTCTGCGTAAACTCCCGGACGTTTTGATTTTTTCCGGCGCCCCAATCCATCAGCTGAAGGCCTTTCCGGGCCAGCCATGGTAGACCAGCAGCCTTCCAATAGGCATCTATGTCTCCTTCAGTTTTGTAGCAGCCCCATTTCCCGCTCAGGCCACCTCCACCAAAACCGGCCAACCGCAGCACGCGGCTGCGCCTCAAGACCAGCACGCTGAGGCTTACTGAACCCACGACCAACGCCAAGCGAGCAGGTGCTTGAGAATTGGCATTATCTACGTAACGCGCGTCGTGCGCGTAGAGTCTTTTTGGAGTCTTGCTGACTCCCGGCCTGATTCGAGCGCCACTTGAAGGACTCGGGCATGTGAAAGCAAAGCCGAAGGAGTTCTGTAGGCCAGCGAGACATGTACAAAGTAGCGTCAGGCGAAGCAAGCGGCTGGCACCCATGATTTTCAGATTGCAGCAAGCTGGCAGTCGTTTATGAGACTAAAACCAAGCTAAACATACCAGGCTTCTTTAAACGCATGCGCCGGAAGGTAATTACAGCATCAACCCAGACACAATGGTAAACACTGAAGCCGTGAATTCGGCTATGGCTTCTAACCCGCTTCGGTCCAGCATACCATGTAAACGCACAGGCAATGAATGTTCAGAGCTATGGAAACTTGCAACAGTTAACGTTTTGAATGCCGCACAAAGAAAGCCACAAGCTGCTTTGCGCTCTGCACTGCCACTTTTTCTGCCACCTCTGCCACTACGTCGGAGGTATTTTCTCGTGATGGCTCGTGCCTGCTCCTATGCCAGCTGCTGCTACGGCTCGGTGAACCCGTTCGCAGTCCGCGAAAAGAGCGGCGGTCTGCGAAAACTCGTCATACAGCGCAGCCTATTTCGTGGATGTGACTTAGGGACTTGCATCAATTTCTTCCTCCTCAATCCCGCTGGGCACCACTGGGGCAGCGGTAGAAGCTCTGCTGAAACACTGTCAGGCAAATTTGGTGAAAACTTGTCAGAGAAAGTCATCCGATGACTGTTGATCTAGCTCAGGTCGCGTGCTCGCCTTGCAGAGCAGGGTAGCCAGAAACAGCACCAACTGATGGCGAAACGCATTTGGAATCTTCCCTGAAAAAGACACACGAATCCTTCTCTCGGGTCCTGTTGGGCACTCGGGAAGGTCAAACGGTCTGCGAACCATCTTCGTATATGTGCACGTTTGGAGGATGACATGTTGGGGCTGATAGCCGGCATCAAATAAATTCCTTTGATCTGCCGTGCAGCTTCGAACAGCTTTGCTTGGTCGGCGAGGCAAGCAACAACTTCATCAGGAGGACTGTCCACCTGCAGGCAAAGCCAGGTCAGGCGCAGCCTGAACGACTTGATGTGTCGTGACATACAAGGATGGGAGGCCTTTTTTAATGCGGGAGTGCTCATGTCCGTCGTGTGCTCCACCTGTCATTTCATGCGCTTAGCCTTTCCAGGACGTTCTTTTCTGTGGCCTATCTGCGAATGAAGACGACCAAAGTCAAAGCCAGAGAATTGTAGTGATAGTTTGAGAGTTGCACAATTCTGCCAGGCAGTCACATCTCACAATGTCATCACCGCCCTTGGCTTTGCCGCCTGGGCGACTGCAATTCTAAGCCATTGTGGTGACAGCTTTGGCTCCATTCACGTGCTCAATTCCAGCCTGACAATCGCCAAGCGCCACGAACCAAGCTGTTGGCATAGAAGCCGCCGCAGGCAGCACCTGCAGCAACCATGCGCACAGAAGCGCAAACAAACCACAACTAGCATGTTGTTCTGTGCGCGGTGTGGCTTTGCAACCTGCAATGCACTCCTTGGCGGTGTGGCCTGCAACTCCACCGATAACAGCCCCCACCACAGGGACTGGAATTGAAGCCTCTGATTCCAGAGCAGCTTTTGCAAGTCTCGCACTCGATTTATGTAGCGTGACTGGCTAAAGCTCTAAGGGCTCCTTGCATCCCTACTGCTTTTTCAAGAGCTCTTCTCGCAGCGCTCTAGCTTCCGCGGTGCCTGGCCCATTGCTGCTCCAGCAAGGCTGCCAATAGCACGGCCGGAGGAGCTGACGGTGCTCTCGCAAATCCGCTCCTTGCTGCTCAACACTGGAGCTTGGTTGCAAAGTAGTTCTGAATGCACTACTGCCAAAACGGTTGTTCATGATGACAGCACATGATGGAACCCATGCTAAGTAGCAACTTCTGCACCCAGTTGAGTGATTTTGGCTTGATGCCGTCGGAATTTGTACTTCGCTGCTGATTCAAGCTGAAAGCAATATGCTGCTGTGATTTCATTGCTTTGGTGCAAGGCATGAGCACAAGCAAGCAAAATCAACGCAAAAAGCGCGGATTCGAAGATACACAAGAACGATGCACAAATAGATGGGCAATCTTGAACGTCTCACCAACAATGCAATGGACTAGAAGGAAACGCCATGGCAGATGAGGTTTGCCTTTGCAATGCTGCAGCAGCCGTGTTGGCTCCGTTGAAAGCCTCCAAAGGCTCCCAGTTTTTTTTTTGCCAAATTTTGAAATCGAGGGGCTCAAATCTAAGTAACTGAGGGCCTCAATTTCTGCATTTAGGGTTCCCCTAAGGGTTGGGGGGCCAAAGTCCAAATCAAGAAATTGAGGGGCTGACGTGTGAATGCGCAGCCCTGAATCTTAGGAGTTCTCAGTATTGAGAACTATCAGTAAGAAATCGAGGGTACCATGAGAGGCATGTAATGTAAATGTCATCAAAAAAGCATACCGCGCAAGTATGAAATCAGGGGTACCCTCAACCAGGGAGGGCTATATCTTAAACGGCGCTGTCGCTGTAGCAAGTTTGGGAATCAAGACGGGAAGGACACCAAGAATCCATTTAGCAACATCTCAAGTTCAATGTTGGTCGGTCATGAAGTGTTTAACTGCACCCTCTTACTCCCCCGTCTTCAAGCCATCATAATCTGTTGCAGCCCGAAATAGTGAAGGAATAAACTGATTGGAGTCTATTTTGGGATCGAAACTGAAAGAATCCAACCCAGCAAAGCCTTTCAATCCTGTTGCATCAAAGTCTGGAGCTCAAACTTGCAGCCTTAATTCGCTGATTCTTTAAATGCTTGGTCTACAGCCAAACCTTGGACTTAAGCCCTTTTGAGGTCTTCCCGCACACCCCAAAACTTCAAGTTCCTAGAGCCCAAAGCAGACCCGAATAGACTGCGAATAGCGACATAGCAATCAAAACAGATCCCCAACAAACCCCAGACAGCAAAAGTGAAAACAAACGAATATTCACAAATAGCCAAACAGATCCCAAAAGGTGCAAAAGGAGCCTAAGCAGACCTAAATTGAGTCTATATCGTGAAAATGACGACCGAATAGAGCCCAAGTACTGTCATAGATCCCCAAAAAATTCCAAAGCGCAGGCTGACCCCAAATGGACCCCAAGTAGCAGCAGCAGCAGCAGCAGCAGGAGCAGTAGCAGTAGCAGTAGCAGTAGCAGTAGCAGTAGCAGTAGCAGTAGCAGTAGCAGTAGTAGTAGTAGTAGTAGTAGACGTCGTAGTAGTAGGAGTAGTAGTAGTAGTAGTAGTGGTGGTGGTGGTGGTGGTGGTAGTAGTACTAGCAGCAGCAGCAGCAGCAGCAGCAGCAGCAGCAGTAGTAGTAGTAGTAGTAGTAGCAGTAATAGTAGGAGGCGCCCCCCTCCCTACCAACTATGTTGGTTGATCTTTTCACTATTAGAGCTTTTGGGGGGATTGGGGGGAGGGTGGGGATAATTGCGTATAAGCCGACCCCAACCAGTCAAGTTTCACCAAACTTAATGCCTTCTTTCAACTGCTCCAACTAAATAAGAGCATGGAGTTTCTCTTCCATTTTGGGGAGGCAAGCCAATGTGGATCCACAGGACCGCCATTTTGGCCCGCATTTTGACTGTACCCTCGAAATCTTTGATGATATTGTGTCCAAGGCTCACAAAGCAGGCCTTCGGAAAGCATTTCGTTGTCATGTTGCTTATTGTTTTCTAATACCGCCTCCCCACATTTATATTGGCCATGTAAGCAAACATAGTTGGTAGGGGGCGTGGGCGGCTAGTAGTAGTAGTAGTAGTAGTAGGAGTAGTACTAGTAGTAGTATTAGTAGCAGGAGTAGTAGTGGTGGTGGAAATGTTGCCCAAGTAGAGCCCAAGTAGAACTGCCCAAAAAACAAAAGTAGGTCCCAAATAGTGCCCAAGGAACTCAATAGAATCCAAATACTAACCATAGAGATGAAGCCCGGACAGAATGCAAATAGGGCCCGAAAAATGGAATGTAGTTTAAACAGAATGTGGAGCCCAAACGGGGGTTTGTCTCATGTTCCAACACGAACTCAGGGTAATCACCGGGAAAACAAAACTGTGTCTGGTTCGTTTTGTTGACTGGGAAAAATTGAAATACTCCACTCCAGGCCTATGTTGCATTTCCCCAAACAGTGCTTTATTCACGCTGAAATGAAAGCTAGATATGGGATGTTGAAGGAAACTGCGGGGGAATTGGGGTGGGGGAAGGCAAAGCTCATAAGTGGAAGTGAATCAAGTCACGATGGAGGTCAACCATGTCAGCAATTCTCCGAACATTCGCACTGCCCGTGATAATGACGTAGCACAATTTCTAGACGTCATTTGGACCATGCGCTGCGTCAATATTCCCGAAAGTGGTGGTCGTACCGACAACGATGCGCATCTTGACGAACATAGTCATACACATTGCACGGATGGGGGGAAGAACGCCAACAGAAAGTTTCAGCAAAAGGAAAGCCAGAAGCCAAAAGGCCTGAACACTAGGAAACATCAGTGAAATCCATGGATTTCATATACATTCATCATATCAGAATGAGCGTTTTGAAGTCATAACTGTCAACAACCACATGGAAAGCTATGCATGCTGGTCGTTTGCACACGCCCTCGCGCCGGCTTGCACTGCCCTAACATCCGGAAACAGTAATGAAGGACGCAGCCTTGAAACCTTCAAAACCTGAACCCTTCCTTTCTGCCAGACAAAGCACACCGAAAGATTTTGAGGCACACGAAATTTGAAGAAAGCTGTCATGGGTCTGGGAAGACCCGAACGGCTTGAGACTCCATTGACTGGTTCACCGTCTTGTTCATACGTGTTCCTGAATCCTGAATGTTCCTGGCTTGCCCATCGTCCGGCAAAGTCGAACTTGACATCGCGTGCCGACTTCATGTCCCATTGCTCCGCAAGATGATCTATGGACATGCCTCGTATTGCCACTCTGCTCAGGAAAAGTGGGCTTAAGGAGAAAATTCAGACGTACCGCGTCGGCCAACATCGTAAAGCGCTAGCCCCTGTCCAGTTCAGCCGCAAGCGTCAATGCATGTCAATGCGACATATTGTCATAATGCGACAGTATTTTATTTTGCGCCGCTCTCTATCTTTCTCTCCTTCTTCTTCTGACAGCTCCAGCTGCGGCAACGCCGCAACCTGGATCCGGTGCGATGGGTCCGACCGGGGAGGCCCCGAGTAGTGGCAGTAACGGCCTCTCCTTATCCACTGCAGAAACAAAATCCTTCAGCTACCCTCATCTAAGGCCGTAGGAGACTCCGTTTTTATTTTCCTCCCTTCTCTTCCCTGCAGTGAGACAGAAACTCAGGGACTCGCACGCCCTCTCTCGCAGTCATGGCAACGAGAGCATGTCCTGACACCAACCGGCAATCTACATCTCCTCGACTAAATTACCTACCTATGAGGGCAGAACATCCAAACCCTGAGCATGCCCGGCAAGCGCAGCCCCGAACACTAGCTCGCAGGAACGTCAGAAAGACGACGGAGTCAAGGTACTGCTAAGACACATGCAGGCAAAGACTTACAGCCAAGTATGCCTACAATTATTATCCCGATTATCCCTCCCTACCGGCCCCGGACTGTAGCACTAGTCTTCCACTCAGGCATCTGCAGCGCAGCCTTCCTGGACTCATTTCATGGATAATTGCTCCAAGCAACAGCATAGCAGCACCCGCATCCCCTAGTATAACCTACATACATGCACATTCGCACTCCCTTCCATGAGCTGTGCCCAACTGCCAAACATCAACCATTCTTTTCGGCGTCGCCAGCTTTTTTTTCGGGACACAATTCAGGGTAATCGTTCCAAACAGCAGCGTAGGTACTCCTGCTCAGCGACGGATTAACCCGCATGGATAGCGAATCAAACCCGAGACCTTTCCCAGAACGGGGCGACACATTTCAGGGCGCGTGCCATCATGGCTCAAGTCACGCGCCTAGCATGTCATCGCGGTGGGCGAATGATAAAGCAACAGCATAACTCCTTGTCTCTCACCGATGGCATCATAACGGGGTTAACTGCGAAGCAACAGCATAACTCTTCAAACATAACATGCAGGAGGGCAGCCTACCAACCAAGTCGACCCTTTTACATTGGCCCCGGGGCACAAGTGCTAAGCAACACTTTGGAAGGTCATCAACAGGCCTCCCCCCAGTGGACAGAAACAGTGGCCGTGTGGGGTCTTTCTTATTTCGAGGGTTTTTGATGTTAGCCTTTGTTCTTGCCTTCCACGGCCACATGCCAGGATTCCAATGCTTTGGGTCAAAGGATTCATGACTTGCGCTGCGTAATTCATGGGAATATGCTGCCCCAACCAGTTCGGGTACGGTACAATAGGATGGCTCACCCCGCTCTCAGCCAAACTCCTTGCGAGATTGGCACACCTTGGACCTACCAGCTCCACTGTGCAAATCACCGTTTCGGTGGTGTACCGCTTCACCTTGCACCACTTGCGTCCCGATCGGTCGGTTGCTTTGCCAACCCACCCCTGCACCAGGACTAAAGCACGCAAAAGTTCTGAATTTTGGGGACGTTCAGTGCGAGTATTTACCAAACACTATACAGCCCTGCATTCGTAGACAGGCCTCCAGCTCCCTCATGGTGAGCTCCCGGATTGCAATGTGCACTTGCGCCCTCAGCACTCCGCCGTCGAGCCGCTGCGGTCAATGTCATCCTCTTGCGCGCCCTCAATTTGATGTAGTTGCCCCATGACCTCTGCAATGTGTTGATCCCACGCCTCCTGGTTGGGGCCCTAACTTGACGCGTCTTGAGGCA